AAAATTATCCATGTTCATCTGAACGGGGCAGACAAAATACTGGTTTTATTGAAGCTTCGAAAAATGATTCATGTTTGTGAACGCATATTTTACATATTGAAGTGAAAGTTTTCCGGGTACACATGAGAATTCCCCGGAGAGCTCCTTCTTCTCCGAGGAGGGAATTTCTACGTGACTCATGCTTGACTTTCATGTCACTCCNTGAATCAAAACTTCAGACTATATGTGACCTTGGGGCAAAGTGTATTTATCTTCCCCGTGTGGCCCGGTCACCAAATTATCATCCAGGAAGACTTGTGTTCGAATTCCAACACCACTACCGCCTGACTTTCCCTATTATGTTTTATGGCAGTCCTTTGGTCGTCCGGTTCCCCCTTTCGGAAAGTTGCATCATTGTGTATTGAACAAAGGGAGGCAAAAATGAAAAAAAAGAGAAGAAGGGATAGCTGCTACAAAAGAATTGTAAAAGAATCGCGACCAAACGACAGTAAAATCTGTAGAAGAGATACGTGATCCGATGGATTATGGACTCATGATTAAAAAGCACTGTAATTTAGGAACATTGCCGATTTGAGGGGACCACACGCAAAGATTCCAACACAGTCAGCTCGGCGGGAAACACAAACCGCGACCGAGAAAAATGGTTTGTGGAACATGTGGAGNCCGTGTTCCTTTGGAAAAGACTAATTGGATCTTAGTATAATGTGACGTCTTGACATAAGGCCATATCTCCATCATACTTAACGAAAAAAGTATGGATGGTGTGAAGGCTAATCAATAATGTAGATTGAAAGGAAGAAAGGTTAAGTGACCAGACCTTGAAGGACACCCAGCTAATTTATTAGTGGCTCGGGCAACTTTGTGACAAAGCTGGTGTGTATTTAGCTTCGCGCAAAATAGTCTACCAGTAGAACACGTAGAATCAAAACCGAATAAGCCATTTCTTTCATTCATGAGGAATTAGAAATGAGAGAGTGAGTGTACGTTTTTGTGTTAAAATTCGCTTGACATAGGAGTAATCGGACAAAATTGCTTAGAAAGAACAGCCATCACGTTGGGGGAATTGAACATACTGACAGAAATCAGTTTACCACGGCAATCGTCACTCCAGCTAAGACACAGTCACCTTGTTTGGGAATGCAGGGGTATAGGTTATTTGGGTCAGCCTTAATGGTCGATTTGGTTGACTACAGGAACTGTACAACATTTTTTGTGTAAGGGGTTTTGTTTCGCGGAGATCACCCGTACAAAGTTGTGACCTGCAACTGCCATTCGCTTGGATTCCTATAACCCTTTCGTAATGCCAGAAGAAACTGCAGAACACCCGTCTTTTTCTCACTACGTTGTTCCCCCTTCAACCTCGTTGTTTAATGCGAAATATACAAACTGATTCTTGTTTGAATACGGGGCTTCTGGAATCTACCTCAGGGTCTCCTCTGCACACCAACCTGGCATCACAATGGAGTAAATTTCTCGCAGACAGATATAGAGCCCATAAGGTTAGAAGCTGATAGTGATCGCTTGACTTCTATTAACTGCACTTACTCCAGACCAAATAATAGATGAATATACCCGGGCTGCCCTTTGATACAATTATCCATCTGAAGTCACAGTTGCAACTACATGTCAGAATTCAGTGATTTACCTACAACTTAGGAGAGTGTTCAACTGAAGCTGTAAGTTATCACCTACCGATAATTGTGCCAGGGTTTAGTTGAATAATGTATTGATTAGGAATAAAAAGGATGACCCAATCAATACTTTAAATAATGTTTTCCAGCTACTCCACCTAAAAAATTCCTTATCATGAAGCACAACAATTTTGTGATTTCTTCAGATCAATTGGTACACGACGACGACGCAGCACACATCTGACAGAAACCTGAAAATCGATTAATTGTCAGCATTGACGTAAGTGGATTGGTTAAGCACCACTTGTCCCTAATTCAGAACACAATATGATACGATCATATTTGTATGAATGCAACAGAATGTCATTCAAGCAGTAGTAAACTCTCAGTATTTCATGACTGAGTTTTTCTCATGCTTACGAACAACTATTTTGCACAAACGAACGCTCACGTTAAAAATGTTTCCGTATCGATTAACTGTCTACATAACAATTCCAGATCGATAATTTATTTCCTCTTTGCTTTTGTTTTTATTCAGTTATTGAACTGTAGAACCTGCAGGAATATACAGCAAAATGTGCGAAGAATAAAGAGAACACGATGTTTGAGACGCAGGAATTTCACTTATGTTTATCTATCGTTGCGTAAATATTAAAGTTTAGTTAACAATCGCTGGAGTACAGTGAGAACAGCTTGAGGTTCAGGTGTGCAGAGAGCTAAACGAGTTAGAACAGAGAAATGTGACGGTAGAGTGGCTGTCAAGTGACTAAGGTCAACCAAGTTGTGCCCCGTGGATCATGAGATCGAACCCAATCATGAATGCCCAATTTCCTCACTTTTTTATTTCTCCAAGCAGTGTTTGTGTGGTTGTGGTTTCATTCTCGGTATTTACCACTACATTTTCATACTTAATGAAACAAAAAGGAGGTATAATATGCTTTAAATAATATTTGCAACTTATGGATGAAGTCTGTTCTAAGTTCGCTTGCTTTAATGTGTTTAAAAAAGGTGAAATAGAGTTTCTTCTACTTGAATGTGTTCATGTGGTCGATCTTCGGTGACCGAGCGAGACTTCTTGAAGATATTCTGTGGCACTGCTTTTGGGCAACAGTTATTTTTTCTGCTGGTGAATATTAACGTAGCAGGATGAGAACTGGTATACGACGTACGGACACTACGCAAAGTATGGCTATTTGATTGGTTTCGGTATTTCACATGGTGATTTAGGAAAGACAGTTCGAGGATGACGCTTTTGAAGCCTATTTCCGAGTGCGTTTCATACGATTTTCCAGTGTTTGATTGATAGAATCCAAACACATCAATTAATCCGGAGGAGAAATGCTTCAGTGCAAAGTTAGTAGAGAACAAGATGGCAGTGCTTAAGCCTTGGACTATTCTGCTTCTGTTAACTATTCTACCAACAAATCAGAGTAAAGTAGTATCCAGTTATCACTTCACAAATAATGCTAAACAAAAGATCGATATACAAAACTAAACCTAAGATCAAAATAGAACTTTCGTTTGTTAATTCCTGCATTCATCCTTGATCGTGTGTTGTAGATGGGTATAATCTCTTCAGGACTATTCTTTTAAGCTTCTGTATTAGCTTTTGTGTTCAGAATAAAGCGAACTGCGGCGGAAAGCCTCACACACACATATAGCTATACATTCACAACTGAGCAGATTATTAAATGACCATCCAGTACTGTTTAATGCAGTCGAGAAGAGCGACGCAAAAAATGCAAATATGTGCTGCAGAGACGTCTTTCATTGTCGTCTCATAAACTTCACATTCACCCCTGGAACACTTCTGTCATGGATCAGTAAAAATTTTCTGTTTTACATACCGAAAATTCTTTTTTTCAACTCTGGCGACAACCTGGAGCAATTTTTCACGGTTAATTTCTTTTGATACGTTATCCGACCTCTTCGTTCAGGTACATAGGGTCCATTGTATTAGTATGCATCATGCACTCAGGCGCATTTACTGTTGTACTGAGACGTAATCTACAAGCTACTGGCAAGGAAAGATCAATAGTTAAATGCGATCGCTAACTTCTCAGTTGTAAGTTGCTTACTGTGAGTCAAGATCGGTGCAAACCCGCACGATTCGTAGTAAACTGAGAAGATCACAACCTTCTTTGCAAAAAAACGCTCTGATTTCACCGCACAAACCAACTCGGTCCGTGAAAAAATGATAAGTGATGCAGTGATCGGAAATTGATGGATCAAACAGTAACTTTGTGTACTAAGTAATACGCAGATGTGTTAGAATCACCAGCAATAAGTGTCATTTAATCCGTTTAAGACCTCAGACCAATGTTCACGTTATCTGTAACACGCTACCTTGAGTCTACCCGGTTAGTTTGTTATATGAAGGTCTTGGACATTATCACGTACGATTTGTGGTCCAGCCATCCTTTTCTTGTCATGACCCGATCTCATTGGTTAGTTTTCCCTCAGGCTCGTGTTGCGTTTTTATCATGCCAGATCATGATGATATAATTTCGATGTGTACGATAAACAGTAATTGATTGCCCGTGTAACGACTTTGGCAACTTGCCATTCCGTTTGAGTGTGAGTCATGTTCATGTCTCACTGGACCTTTTGGTTCATGGTGTCTGCATTTTCCTCTCTTTCAGATTGTCAGTTCATCCTCTCCACGGAGGACCTCCTGTCTGTCGATGGTTCCAACCCACACCTAGACTCGACCCACTTGCTGTTGTCTGGTGTATTCGTTCACGGGGGACATCCTGTAGGGAACACGAGCCAAGCATCTCACATCTCATCTTAGCGCTGCGAAAGATTGACTGTCCGCTGGGGCCCACATTCCGTTGAGGCCATGGAACAGCGTATCCCGAAGGGGGTTCGGATTGTGGTTCGAAATGGAATCAACTTGGAGTATTCGGTACCAGGAAGCAAAAAGTGTGGAAAATCATGGAGATGGTTTGTGGTATTTGTGGGAGACCAGAAGAAAATGGCCACTGATTTTGTTGAAACACAAGATGGATGTTCAACATGAAATTGTGAAGTAGCAATCGATCTGGTCAGCGCATCAGAACCGGCAGTCATGATAGTGCTCGATGGAGATAATCGTCATATTGGTCAAGTCAATATACCACTGGTCCAGTTTCTATACACGGATTCGAACAATTTCGATTCATCTCGTCTGATTCAAGCGGATTTAGAAACAACTAAAAAGAATTCCACTCCGCGTGGACGAGTGTATTTTTGGATTTGGGCTACGAGTTACTGGCCTCCAGGAACCAAAGTTGAAAGCAAATCAAAGTCAATCAAAGGTTCTCTGTCCCATTTGGGCGGCAAACTACGATCAAAGCGAACCAGACGATCAATGTTCGATATTTTCCTATGCCTCTAACGCCAATAGATCTTCCCGAGCGCCATCCATGGTCTCTGGAGCCCATAGTGAGAGCAACTTGTCCGGTCGGTAATCCATCAGATCCCATGGGTGGGATGCCTGCCGGATGGTGTGATTCCGGGACCGTGTCGTCCCAATATACTTGTAATTTGGGCGTCCCCAGGGCCTCCTATAATCCAATGGCTGGAATGGACGATGGGCATTCAGGCGATATTGACGCTCTTGCCGTGTCTGGTCGACCTCCAATTTATCAGTCAGCCTTAAATCTGCACAGTAACCAAGCAGGCTACGACGAATCTACCACCGGAAGTTCAGGCAAACGAAGCCTGGCACAGAAATTGAAACACTAACTGTCCAAAAGTACACATAACATCACCATTGCTGCAGCGAAAAAAGCAGATAGAGAGAAAATTTACGGAGATAGTCGTCACAGCGTCCTGCCGGCATCCTCTTCAAAGATAAATCAACAGTATCCGGATTCCAGCACAATGGGATTAAATCAGGTCCCGTATTCAGCTTGTCACGTGATAACTATCCGATCGAGGGAGGCGCACGCACGTCCGGAGGTGATCAGCTCTATAG